CAACTTCCCTCTCCAGCCTCTCCCTTTCGCTTTCCCATAATTCTTTGTCGAGCAGGAGGCGGTCCTTTTCCTCGAGGGCTTTGTCAGCTTTCTCTTTCTCCCTCTCCAAAGCATCAGCCTGGTCCCAAAACATCTCTTCGCTTCGTTCAAGAGCGGTCTTTAATTTTTGTGTCTTAGCTTGAAGAGTCACGTTCTCTGACTCCAGTTCCTTGACCCGACCAGAGGAGCTGACCCCTTCACCCGCAAGGACCAATGCCATCTCTGCTATCTTCATCACCCCGACCATACTGGAAGACAGATGCTTCCTTTGACCTTCATCGTCGAGTCGCCTTATGATGTCGGACTCATTGTTGGATACAGTTAGAGGGCAACCCTTAAAGAAATACTTCTCCACGAAACAAGGCGGGAGGCTGGAGGCTTGGGCAGTCCCCCCCCCCCCCCCCCCACACGGTCACACCAACAACCTCATCTACGAGGCAAATTCTTTTCATGCCGAGTCGGCACCGTGGGTTCCCGATTACCCACTGGATCCTTCCTTGGTCGGCTCGGAAACTGAACCCATGCGTGTAGGCTGATGCGGCTTCACCAACCTCTTATGGCTCTTTTTCTCTTGGTTCAGCTTCAACAGCCTCTCGCGATGTTCCGCCATGTTACCTGCAAAAACAAAAACGGTGTCCTCAGGTCAGCCTTGACGGGAAAACAAAACAAAAGAAAAAAATTCAAGTCAAGAAGTAAAAATATAGCAAAATAAAGCGAGCATAAACCTAAGAGATTCACGGCTTCTCCATAAGAATGACACTCGACGAGCGCCTTGGTATTGATTGGGCGAGCTTCGAACATCGGCTCACCATTTTTATCGAGGATGTCGTGTCCTTCCCTCATGATCCATCTAGCAAGAAAGAACCCATCGACGAACTGATTAAGAACACCATATGCCTCTTCGTCCTCAGTGCTCATGCTGCCGACGGGAGTGTGGTAATGCCCGGAACCATGATTGTAATGGCCCAAACACCAGTGGATGGGAAAATTCAAGATTCGCCCCATCTCTTGTTCGCCATTCTCATCATAACACGGTTCACCATCTTCATCCACAATGAGAGTCGGGTCGAACACAGCGTCTACGGCAGTCTAAGAAATAGGTCGTACGACATACCATATGTCCTTAAAGTCGCGGACGGAGTCCATGTACATCCCGAACAGCCTCTTCGACTGTTTAAGGGAGACCCAGTTGTGTTTCCCGCCTCGTGACTGCCGTTGTAGATGAAAAACCCTAAAGAACAAGGGAATGGTCTCCCTGATCCTCGGGAACTGGCAAGTAATCTCGAATGCCCGAATGAAGGCAATGGCATTCAGGTGAAGCTGGGAATGTGCTAAGTTCAAGTGATTGAGCACCCCCACCTGGAAATCATTGAAGGGGAGGTGAAGCCCCAAATCTCTGAAAACGACCTCGTACATGGGGAAGCGGTCTTCCTCGAACTCCGAGCATATCCGAGCATCAGGAGTTGGTCGTAAGATCACGAAGTTCCTTTGGAAGCCTTCCTGATCGCCGTCATACTTAACGACAGTGTAAGCACGCCTCCTACTATAACTATATATTGAGGTTATCCCTCAAGGCTCCGCCCCGACGCGGGATCGTCAACCGTGTCAAACAAGTTGACACCCTCCTCAATTACACTGGTCTCTTCGACGTCCACGTGCTCGAACAATTCAGGAGTGTCGGCCATTTTACCTGTAAAACAGAGGAAACTGGTAAATTCGATAGAAAATCCAAATCCATCCTTCTGTGACGTAGGTAAAAAGTTAGGCGGCACCCAAACCAAGTCAACAGTCCCTCGTGCAGAAGGAGTAATACTCGTCCCTCGATCAGGGCACGAAATTCATGTCAGCCTTATAAAACCACACAGTGGTTATAACGACGAACACTCATTTTCATGAATACCCCAAGCACAGAAAGAATACAGTGAGCAAAGTATGAATTTTCTGGCCAGACTCATGAATTCACCGGGGACAACACAAACTTCTTGCGTAAAATCCATAAATTTTATAGGGATATATGAAGACTACGGGGTAAACTCATCTAAGTGACGGGGAAACGATGAATATCACGGACTCAATCACGAAAGTTATGCATAAATACATGAATTCCTCAAGCAGAACCCCCCATCCGTGAAATTCTACAACTAAAACATCATCAAAACAAAGAGTATCACGAAAAAGTACTTACTTGGACAAAGCAGATGAAGAACAATGAAGGTTGAAGAAGAACGTGGGGTGGATTATGCGGCGATGGAAGGAAACGGCGTTGGAGATAGAGAGAGTGGAGAGCGCGAGAATGTAAACGTAAATAATGGGCCTTGAGGCACTATATATAGAGCTGACGTGGAATGTGAAATGTCGCGTTGGGAAGCTCGACAACCACCTTTCTCCCCGACACCTACACGATCAGCTAATGATGACCCCTACTCCCCAGGCCATCATTACAATCCCAAAGATCACGCCACGTGCCTACACCCTCACAGGGTTTCCCCTCTCTGCGACTAGAATGGTCCCATCTCGAGTTCATTCTGAATGTTGCTCGAGTAAACCCATGAACCGACGACTTTCTCCGGCAATACAACGAAATATCCTCGTCGAGCAACGCACCTCGTAAAAGAAAAAGTTGGACTTAAGTCATAACTCCTTCATCAGAAACAACGACTTAGAGGGCTCTTGTTCTAAACTGGGCCTGTCCTTGGCCCAACTCCACGAGAGGCCCAATCTAATTAGGTCGGTCAAAGTATATTGGTCAGTGCCCTGGAGATCGTCGGGCAGCAACTCCCACTCCCCGCAAGGAGGCAACCTCCCCGCACGAGGATAAACTCAGTCGGTCTTAGGAAGATCATCGTCGGTCAAGAGGACCTCGAGGTCACCCTCTAATCCTCTCCCCGGCCAAGAATGATCCCTTCACACGACCTCGCGTCTGGCAGGGAGCATCCACGATGAGCATAAGCGCCTTACGAGCATCCTCCTCGTAGGGATGACTGTTAACGTCTCCGAATATCGCGGGTCTTCGTGGCCCCGAAAAGACCGCATTCATATCCTCCTGATCTTGCGGAGGAAGTCATCCATGTGAGAGACCACGTGCAGGTCCCCACTACTCACATAGAATCTAGCGGTCTCCATTTTGGGCCTGTTTGACCAGTCCAATGAGGAGACATTGGCCCAGCGCTGGTGGCTATAAATACCCTCTCTTTCGAGAAGGTCAGGTATTGATTATTTTTTACTCTCTTGCTTGCTAGCTTATTCCACATCTCATTTTGATATCGGAGTGTCTTGCAGGTACCCCCACCTCACTCTCAAGTTCTGCTTGAAGTAAGTTGTGACGGTCAATTCTGATCAAGTACGATCAGAAAGATTATAGAAGTTTACGTCAATAATGTGGTGGCAAGTACTAAAGCTTTTAAAGTCATTTAGTGGAACTAAGATCAGCCCTAAAATATAAATATCTAAGTTCAAAATCCACACAAAAAAACTGTGAATCAACAATCAAATTGCTATAAATGTTTGGTGATGTAAGAGTTATACATGTACCTTACGGGGGAAATGAGGAAGCTAATGCCTTAGAGCAAGGATGTATATCGATGGTTGACATATGGATCAAAGAATTAGTCAAACAATCAAATTGCTATAAATGTTTGGTGATGTAAGAGTTATACATGTACCTTATGGGGGAAATGAGGAAGCTAATGCCTTAGAGCAAGGATGTATATCGATGGTTGACATATGGATCAAAGAATTAGTCAAATATCTAAAGAGCCCGTCCATTTTAGTTGATTTGAAGTTGCAACATATGGCACTTAATAATGTGCTAGAGAATGGGTGAATGGTGTTTTGGTTAAGTGAGTGGAAGGACAAAATCTTTGAAAATTATAGGAGAGATTCACGAAGGACTTTGTTTTGTGTATCTACAAGGTTGCCTTCAAGATGAATTGGCTAATTCACTCTCATGGGTACTATTGGTCGACCATAATGATCGATTGATTCCAATACGATAAAGGATGTGAAGCATGTTAATTGCACAGTCCAATACAAAGAACTGCCATTTGAACAATTGTATCCTTTAATCAAACATTTGTCATACAGGGAATAGGCTACGGGTCTAATTGGTAAAATATACTCAGCTTCATCCAAAAGGAATATTTTTTATCATCATATTTTCTACTTCAACAGATGGGTAGAGACTCGGCTGATGTTAAATGTAAGGCAAAATGAGATTATCAATTTTATATTGCATTGAATCATATATAGCTTGGCGTCCTCAAAACAATTATGATTGTTCAAGGAACGATACTCATTACAAACCATATATTTCTCCTCTTACTATGCTTTGTCAATAGGAAAATCGAGGCAAGATCATCAATGATATGATAAAAAAAAACATTAAAGATAAGTCAAGGAGATGGCATGAAATCGTGTAGGAAGTCAAGATGCGGCATTACCTCTAGAAATTAGTTTCCAAATAAACCAACTAAGTATTGATGAATAGCAATAAGCTTTGGTAATGGAGTTTGACACTCTCCATGAATACGATTTGATGGCCTAACCTAGGGTTCAATAATTCAAAGCAAAAGATGGCCTAAGCTTACAACAAGCAAGTGAAATTACATGTACCAAAGTTTTCAGCTACTTGATTGCAAATGTTCATTGACCTGGATTATAAACCAAAAAAACATAACTGAGACTAGCACGAAGATACAGGTTACAATCTTTAGCGGAACTGCTGACATCGAATTTTCGACACCATACTGAAATTTTAATAATTCTAAGAGAAATAAAAAACACAAGGTTACTGAAAAACTAAAAGTTTTAATGTATCAAGTCAGAACTTTTAACACCAGATTTTGGGAGCATATCTACAGACAGATGACCTTCATATACCACCTACGGAGGGGAGTATTATTTGAACAATTTTTTACAGACTGAGGCTACAAAATGAAACAACCTTGACAATTGTCGCAAATTTATCTCTTGAGAGGTTTGTAAAGGACAACTGTCACATATTTAGACTGGAACCTGTGAGTCAATCCCAGGGCAACAACGGACTTTGAGGCCATGTTTTTCTCTATGAAGACGTGATTTAGCACAACATGTTGAGGCTTTGAAGGGGGCCCAGAATCAGCATTCTCCATACCTAGGACTGTAAGATGTAACTGCGAGGGAACAGCCAATGGCTCTTTTGCAAAATCTTCCTCAGCTGGATATGCTTGACCATAACTAGATTCTGGGGAGAGTGGCGCCTCAAACTCAGTGACACCTTCAGGATTTTCTGGCACATAATCCTGCAGAAAATAAGAACACTTGAATTATCATACCCAAGACAAATCATTTTCATTACATCGCATAATTAAAAAATCAAGAACAACCATGGAGGACTCATGTCTGGGTAAAATGGAACGGGAAATAACATTTATTACAATCACAAGGATTTTCTTCTCCTATTGATTAACAACTTCAAATTTATGATAAGCAAAATAATGAACTCAAAAGTTTATTCACTGAAATTTAATTTAACTAGTATTAGTTTATTTGATCACACTAATGCTCTGACCCTAAAAGCACAAAATCTCGTTAAAATTGGCTTTCTAAAACTTTAGTCAATAAATCAATAGTTGGGTGCAAAATCCAGTGTTTCCTCGGTTTATATTCATCCTTGATCTATCTATACATATGACATCAGCCACAATGAAATATGGCACATTACTCTTTCCTAGCCCCACCCACTAACATAGTTACCCTCCCTCCCACTGCCTGCCACACATTATACACAATCTTACACCAAAAGGAGAAGATCATCTAGAAGAGTGCAAAAGCACAATTAGGTATCTAGGAAGATAAATTTCGTGATGAAAAAGATGCTCTTCACATAACAAGATGTTCACATAAAAAGAAGAAAAAAACAAAAAAGAAGATGCATACGTTAACATCAAGAAGATTGCAGACATTCCCCATCTCATCAGCTACATAAGGAAGATCTGGAATATATCTCTGTTCACCATCGACAATGAACCTGTAATGATATATACCTGATGGAAGGACTATAAGAATCGAGTGATCCTTGCCACCTCGCTGCATTGCCTTCCTGCAAGTAATTAAAATTTACTGGTACTAATACATAATAGAATAATTGCAATTGTGATAACTTTTCATGTAAAATACAATCAAGCCACCATTACTAACAAGAGTCATCAAGTCTGACCTGGATGTCCAGTTATCCCAAGATCCCTCCACAGCCACACTGTTACCTCCATAGTTCCAAGTGATCATAACAGGGATTCCTTGCTCAGGAGGTTGATGAACAATACCATGAGGATCATTCTGCCACATTTGATTGAGAAAAGGAGGGCCGTTACCTCTTTGTAATGGAGCTAGAGGAACCTGAAAAATACAAAAGAAATTCTATGTTTATGTTTTAGTAATGTCATGTTGCCACTGATATGACCTGCATATTTATTTTCTAAGCAAAACATAAAGACCCTGACTAAAGAAATTTAAACTTCAGGGAAAGAATTAAAACTAAATGTGAGCAAGAACAACAATACACACTTTGGCTCTACTGCATCCCTTACAAAAAAAAAAAATTGAGTCTACAAGTCTAAACTACATGTACAAGGTGTTTTATCATCTAAGATCACAGAAGGCAACAAAAATTAATTTTAGTCTCAATTAATGTTACAGAATAACAGCAACAAAATTTTAAGAGATCTAAGAGAGAGAATCAGCAACACTGGTTAAAACCAAGAAAAAATGAGAATTCCCTTCCCAGGAAATCTATCAATTAAAGCCAACCTATCAACAAGCATATCATAATTTCACACAATGCATTATCAGATCAAATTCTAAACCAAATAAGTATTTTTAAATAAAATGCATTCACAGTCATGTAATTTAATAGCACATCGCAGATTCTCTCTTCCAAAACTCTGTTCATAGACAAAGAAAGATTATATGATTTCAAAACTTCTTACAAAAAGAAAGGAAAGAAAGAAAGTGGGACTTGTTTTTATCTTTTGTATGTCTTGATATTATTCACAGCCTAGTGAATAGTTCTAAAATATATTTAGGTTACAACATCTATCAGTTACTAAATAGGAAATTGTCAGAATTTTTCTCGCCTTCATATGAAAATATAACCATGAAGCTTCATTAGACTAGAGTTGTTAGCAAGGACAAGTAGCTATGGTGCAAACTGACGCCAATCATTTGGGATCAGTGGCGGAGCTTGATCAGTATTTTAGAGGAGGTCAAGTGTGTGTGTGTGTGCGTGTGTGTGTGTGTGTGTGCATAGAGGGTAGCTTTGCCTCAAGTTTAACATTTTAGCCTAGAAAATATATATAAAAAAAGGTTTCTGCCTGATTTGATCCCTGGAAATGTAAGCTGCAAAAATGCTCTTCCAGCACTGTGCCAGCATGCATATTTACCAATTAAAAAGAAATTTTTGGGTGGCCATTGCATCCCCCTGTCATAGCTAAGATCCGCCAATGATTGGGGTCTTGCCTGGTTAATATGGTGCAAGATATCTCATCAAATCTAACTGGTTTGGGAGGGCAAATATCATATTTCCAGACTTGGAATCAAATAGTCAAACTAAATAACGATCATGCCAATTGATATGAATCAGGTGGAAGTAAATGGATTAAATGTGTCATGATAAGGGCCTAACACAAGGTTGTTGGAAGATGCAGTATAATAAGAATAAGAAAATGCTACTAAGAGCACCACTCCTTTAAGATACTGTTTTGGATAACAATTTCCACAATGGAAGATAGAAAGTCATTTTCTACATATTGACAAATTCTTTTTAACTGGTTAAGAAATTACTTTTGGCTTAACATAGGCCCATACATCTGAAAATGTGCAAAACAAATTGGGCAAAATATACTCTCCATCTGATCTACTCTCCTTACAACCAAAATCTGCAGGTCTCTCTACATGTGTGAACCACCTAAACCTATTTTCTACCATTTTTCTAAAAAGAACTTTAAAACAAATTGTTCTGATGAAACCTTGGGAAAGAAAATACAAAATCATCTAAAATTTAAAGAAGACAGTAAAATAGTGGATGACATGGAAATCTATCAACTCTACATGAGAGATCCCCGGGAGTGTGGGGGGTGGGGAGACGACAAAAAAAGAAAATTCCAAACATTGACCGGGAATAAAGATGACAATAGGCAATTTCCAAATTAATGGGAACAATATACACGGGTCAGAAGAAAAGAAGTATATGCAAGTATTGATTTGTATGTCCTTATAAATCTTGTGTAAAACTTTTGATATTATATAACTTATAAGCTTAACAACTTAAAAATATGGCTAATGCTAACTTGTGGCCAAAGAGCACAAATTAAAAGCCAAATTTAGAAACATTTGTCTTAAAAGTTGTCCATTCAACTTTTTAAGTCACAATATTATATTATTCAATGACAAATTCCCCTTCCTAGATTCCTCAAGACCCTAAATATATAGGCATAGCCACGTGTAATATTGTGTGCACATCCTGAATCATGATGCACTGGTTACAAATCCAAAATTGCTAGGTCAACATCGGCAAAGAGTTTTGTATACTCGCGTTTCAAAATTGCATGTGTGGTTTCTCAATTCAGAAATTTTGGAGATACTAGGCACGTAGTCAAGGGAACGTGTCACAAAAATCAAAACAAAACAAAGTCCATGACGTTACACCCGTATAATGGTTGCCCAAAAACATATATTTTGTTGACATTCCAAAGTCCACACATCAAATCACAAACAGCACATTTCACACTCTCAATCAAGGAAACTATTGCATGCAATTTCTGATTTCCAAAATGAACAAAATTAATTGCCGTTAGACTAGAACAATTAATGTGTATCTCCAAATGGTGTAACGCTGAATACACAACTCTGTTAATAACAATCGTGCAAGACTTGGAGACATGGCTCCATGAGTTTTACGGGACAAAAATGACGCAATCCAACTCAAACTCAGATGGAGTCATGTGTTTATTTCTCGTCTCAACTGTAACGCTCTAACTAAGTACCCGTTTGTTTCCAAGTTCAATAGGCTCCAAATGGTCAACAGTTTCTTGCTTCTCAATAAATACTACTTTAAGATGTGTGCACGCTTAGCTCAACATGTACACACTATCCTAAGTTTGGTAAATGCTAATTCCCGCTGAATAAAGATAAGATTGCATTATTGTAAGGAATCTGCAAAATGGTAAACTAACTGCATAAACAGTCCGAATATCAGGCACAGCTGTTCTTAAAAAAACATTAAACAACTTAAAACAACCAATTAACTAACTCCATAGATTTACATCACTCCGCTTTGCCTCGCATGCCCTATCTAATTAAGTTTTGAACATATAGATGAAAAAAAAGCCACATTAATTTCTTTCGGACACTCATCACGCTGATTCAATCCAAATCACATTCATCAACTACACATGATCCATGCAAGCGTCAGCAAATCGATCATTCAAATAACAGAATTCACAGATCTCTTCAATTTAACACCGAAAATAATCCACAGCTTAAACTTGGTAATAATCTACAGTTTCAACAAAATTAACCTATAAGCATTTAATTTAATTCACAAATGATTATTAGAATTAAATACACTAAACAAAGAACAAATAGCAACATCAACGAACCACCTATTTAACCTAACGTAATCGAAATTCAACCAAACCTAACCAAATTCAATTCAACAGTAACGGAAAAAAATACGCAATGACTAATATTAACGCTTAACAACGATGCAGAAAATCATAAAAGAATTGAACAGAAAAAACGAAGAATGAAATAGAAAACCTGAGGACCGAAGAGGATCGGCGATCTGGACCGGCGAGGACTCTGCGGCGGACTATTCGCCATTGAATCGGAAGAAAAAGCGCGAACGGGAGGACGAGAATCAGGCGCGTGAGGTTCACGGCCGGCAAGATCAACACCGTCGGAAATGGCTCCGTCTTCTCTGCCATTAGCGTTTCCCATGGAAGATTGAAGAAAAAGTGAAAAATACAAAAACGACGGGAAATATATTATATATGTGTGAGGTTATTGTCGTTTACTGCAATGCAGGCGAAGGAGAAGTAAACGACAAATTGTGAGAGTATGAAGAAGTGAAAGTGCCGCGAAGAAGAAGAAGAAAACGGTTCCGTTATTCGTCGTTTTATTCTTATCAAGTTGTGTCTGAGTCTGATCTGACGCTGTGATGTTTTGGACTTTGGAGCGAGAAATTTAGATTGGAATAAAAATTAAATACAAAAAAAATAAAACCAGAGAGAAAAGAAAAAAAGTTTTAAAAAAAAAAACTTTTTCATTTGTTTTAACTTTTTGTGTAGTACAGAAATGAGTGTTTTTTCTTCCACGCTCTTTTGTCTTTTAACGGAACTCGCGCTTATCGTCACACTCGCACCTAATTCCTATTATCTCCATTTTAAAATTATTGTCGTTTTAAAAAAAAAATTATTTTAAAATAAATGTAATTCTTATTTTTTAATATAATAATAATAGTATTTTTTTATAATGATAATTTTATACACTATTTTTAATAAATTAATAAAATTAATTTAATAAAAATATAATATTTTATGATAATATAATTATATTTTTTAATTAATATACAAAAACTTTAAACGAGACTCATTTTAAAATGAAAGAAGTATTATAATTTAATTTGATTTGTAATTAATTTTTTAATTAAATATTTTTATTCTATAATATTGAAAATAAAAATAAACAAAAGCTACTTTATTTTATAAAGAACTGATGTGTATACTTATGCGAGACACGGGTTTAAATTAATGGAAAAAAATATTCTTGAAAAAAATTCAATATTTGACTTCTAAGTGAAGATTTTCATTATTTTTATCAATATCTTTTAAAATTTAAAAAAATCATATTTAATTTTTCTCATTTTAAAAAATTCTAAAATTTGATAAAGAAATATTTTATAATATTATAAACACGTACGGAAAATATTATTCAAAAATTTAAAAGTTTAAGAGTAATTAAACAGTTTTTAAAATTTTAGAAAATAACAGAGAATAAAACTGGATGAACAAAAATTTTTTAGGGACCAAAATTTATCATTTTTTTAATAAAAATTAAAAATAAAATTTGAGATATTTATAAGAATCAAAAATATATTTAACCCTATAATATATTAAAAATAATTTAGTCTATTATATATATATATATATATATATATATATATATATATATATATATATATATATATATATATATATATATATATATATATATATATATATATATATATATATATATATATATATATATATATATATATATATATATATATATATATATATATATATATATATATATATATATATATATATATATATATATATATATATATATATATATATATATATATATATATATATATATATATATATATATATATATATATATATATATATATATATATATATATATATATATATATATATATATATATATATATATATATATATATATAATAATAATAATAAAATAGAGATATGTAAGGTTTAAAATTTGTGCTATTATCTATAAGTTATTTTAAAAGTTATTAATTAATTATGAAATACAATTCAAATAATATAATTGAGAGTTATTATTTTATAGATTAAACAAAACATAAAAGATATCAAAATAATAGAACTAATTTATAAATTCATTCAGTAATTAAAAATTAAAATTTAAATAATATAATAGAGTCATATTATTTTATATTAAAAAAAACATAAAAGGTATAAAGAGAATAGAACTAATATTTATTGAGTAACTAATTTAAACACATGTAGAAGAAAAAAATCATTACACGTGTAAACACTCCAAATCACATGACATATTTGAAGGGACTATGGTATATGGGACGATCAGTTAGTAGAGTAGTAGAGAAGTCCCAAAAAAAAACAAAAGCATCAGCAACATCCAAACGAAAACCCTTTCTTACAAAGACGATCTTCTGCATTTGTTAGTGAGAATGAATTCAAGGGAGAAAGTAGTGCGTGTAACCAGGTAAGGATTCGTATTCGTGAAAAAAAATTGTTTTATCTGTGAAAGCTTTAAAACAGTTATAGATTGATAAGGATTATTGTAGAATCGTTAATTGTTTGGTTAATCGTAGAGGTAGAGAGAATGAGAACATGATGTTAGCGGCATGTATGGTGTATAAACAGTGTTTGTTGCATGTTGTTATTTGTTGCAGAGCTGAAAAACTCAAGCTTCGACATTTTGACGAAAATGAGTATCAACAGATGTACCTCTGTTATCTGGATCATGAGGAATAGCGGTTGCTCCGGAAAAAAATCAGGAAAATGTTTAGCTACGAAGAATTTTATGTAGAGGTGTTGGGAGCGTGTGATGTTGAAGGAAAATATGAACTTGAATTGAAAGAAGTTGATAAGTCGGGACACAAAATGTGTTGTTGTCGACCCAATCAAAGGGAGTGTGTCGGCGTCATCCGATGAAGGAGGTAAACATGATGTTGAACTAAAGGAACCTCCAAGAAGTTCATTCAAAGTGTTGATGGTGAGACAAATAAAAGAAAAATGATTGCAAGTCATGTTCATTCTCACGTATCAATATCATCTAAAAGTGAAAGGTAAAGTATTTTAGTTTCTATTATTAAGACGTATCTAACGCATGGTTGAAGTAGTATTTAGTGTTTATGTTATAATTAATGTTTTGAGTGTTTAAAAGAAATAGAAACATTGAAACATATCACAGTTAACGAATTATTCGTATGTTGCATGTTATGAAAACATAATGAATCAGAGAGGTTGGTAGCAGCTTCTAAAGTTGGTGATCGTACCTGACCAGAAGAGATTGTCAAAGGCGCAAGCTTCGAGTCGAACAACAGTTAGATGGAAAATGGGGGTACCTGCAAGACACTCTAATGCTAAAGTAAGGTTCAGAGTTATGCAAGCAAGTGTGAGAGTAAGGATGAGATTGAATTAATATCTAACTCTCTCGAATGAGAGGGTATTTATAGCTCCTAGCGTTGGGCCAAGGTCTTCAGTGATGGGTCACAATGAGGCCCAACAACAAAGACTGTCAGGGCTTACGTGTCTATGGAGTCCAGTATGTGGTCTCCTCCCTAGTCAACCGCCCCAAGAAAGCAGGAGTTGAACTCATTATTCTCGAAAGGCGAGATGATGATGATGATGATATGGACAAGTGAGCTACGTTCCCTAATGGACACGTGGAGAATTTCCCAATGGTCCCTAGGTTGGACTGCATGTCTTTGGACCTCAGGCAAATGCGCTAGATTAAGTCTCTCCAACGGTGGGGCAAGTGCTAGCTCAGTCCAGAACAGTTGGTAATTCTCGTCAGGGCCAGTTCTGACTTTTTAGAGGCCCTGAGCTAATAATAAAAATACATCCTGATAACAAAATTAAACAACTAACCTAAAATTTTGATCATATAATAATTTTTAATATTTAATTATAAAAATAAATATTATTTAAATTTACATTAAAGACAAGACTATTTTATTCAATTTGAGACCTTTTTTCAATTTTAAAAATTGGTCTCTAATAAATAGAATAGAAAAAAATTAAAAATAGATATTTCATTTAAAGTTGCAAATAATATTAAAAATTATAAAAAAAAACAATCTATAAATATTTAATGTTCTTAGAGAAAGGCTAAATATCATAGATTATACAAATATTTATTTTTTAATTATGATTTTTTTAATTAATAAACAACTAAAAATTAAAATTATAAAATATGAAAATACATTGTAAATATTTGTTAGAGATTACATTTGATTGCAATATTAGAAATATTAATTGCAATATATAAAATATGCAAAAACATTGTAATATTAGAAATATTAATTGCAATATGTAAAATATGAGCTTACATTCTAATATTAAAAATATTAATTGCACTATGTAAAATATGAGAATATTTCAATATTAACCATCCTTTAATTACAAAAAATTTCGAATCCAAATAATAATTACTAGAAATCAACGGTCATGCGGATGGAAATTGGAATTTTTTTTAAATAACTATTTTTAATTTTTTTTAAATAATTACTTTTTCAAAAAATTTATCAAAATGACTATTTTTTAAATAAAAAAATTTTGCCATACAGAGGAGTAACCACTATGTGGCGCATGCATGTATTTTTAAGAGGGGGCGCCACACTGTATGGTTTGTCCTCCTCTGTAAAGCTATGCACTGTGGCGCATGCATGTATTTCCATAGAGGAGGCGCCCCCTCCTTGGCTTGACAGTGTTATTGCATAATTTTTTTTAAAAATAAAATAAAAGTAACTAAAAAAATGTTATATTAATATTTAATATTACACAACGCATGGATACTTTTTTTTGGACGTCCCCTCAACTTAAGTGGGTCTCAGTATGACATAAACGGTCGCGCCTTTGCCTCGCCTCTTGTCTCACTCCTCTCTGTTGACTTTCCTGAGGTGTTTGTGGTCTATTCTGACTCGCTTAATTATGAGGTGGTTGATGTGATGGTCCTGGTACATCAGGATCATACATCTCATTGATCATTTCGCCTCACTGTGTTGTGCTTCCAAAGAGATCGGTGCTCATGTTGTTGAAGTTTGGTCTTGTTGGTTGGGATATGTGTGGGTGGGTGGTTGATAGTATTGGGATGTTGAATCGTGATGGAAACGAAGCAACGGTTCTTGTGGTGTATGAAATTTGTATGATGGTTAGGTACTTCGATGGTGTGATGTTTGACTGTATGTAGGTTGGGTGATATGGTAGGAAGGAGATGTATCATATGTGTCTTGGGTGTTGTGGTAGGATGAGGATAGTGCATATTATTGGTGGTGGGTCGGATCGTGCTCTTGGTATTGTGTTCGTGTGTGTGGCATGAATTGATGACGGGTTTGGTTGAATGAGGTGGTGTATGGTTGTTGGGTTTGAGTGGGTTGACATTGTGGTTGGGTTTGGTATTGTTGAGGGGTTGGTTGTTGGGTTTGGTATTGTTGAGGG